TTCCATTTCGGTACTAACAGTACTTATATCACATTTAGTTTTAGTTAAAAATTTATCCATTTTCGGCAACTTTTGTTTCATTTCTTCTCTTTGTTGTCTCTGTTTTCGCTTAAAGGCACCACTGGTTTTCTTTTTTATATCCATAATACACTTYTTTATGACAACGTTAAAAGCTATCGAATTAAATACAATTTTAGTGTACGCACTGCGCTACGAACACGATAACGTTACGCTKATGACTGAATAGTGAATATTATGCTACGTAAACATAATTAGATAATAATATTTTCAATAATATTTCACTCGACAATATATTATAGGTAATAGGTATAATCATTGATTATAGAATATTATATAACCAATGGTATAATTAAATTGACAACAGACTATTTTAGGATTATTTACGCGGCAATTCCTATGTACGTCCCAATCGTCTTTAATATTAATTACAAACCTTGGTGGCCGTTGTGCGATAAGATAACGATTACTCCGTAGTCGAACACCGAATGTTCATATTAAATTTCTAATATTAAATTATCATATTAAAAATATCCAAACTTTTTTTCAATTTTATTTCAATTATTTTACGGATGTATTTTTAAAACTTACCAAGAGCTCTGAGGGCCCCTAAGCTCTAGGGGCCCCAGGGCACTGCCCTGCTTTGCCCGATGATAGCTACGCCACTGATCGAAGGTGGTTAAAGCAATTTTTTTGGAAAGCTATTTATCTCGTTTCTATGCATTTATGTGCATATAAAGGTATAGCCTCCAATTGCCCTCCATATAGGTAGGCGCCAGRAGATAACCGTAATAATAATAATAATATTACCTACATAGGTATTATATAATATTATGAGACCTCCTCGGTGAACATTAAATATACATTAAATATTCTACCCACGGTTAAAGATATCGTGATAAAAATAAGGTCTCATTTCGACGTTTTTACATTATGCAAACGAGTTTGCATTTACATTATTTTCGTTAAAACATTTATAATGGTTTATGA